ATATGATTTACGATTATATATAAAAATTTCTCTTTTATTCATTCCATTGTTCCATTCATTTATTGCATCAATTACCGATCACTTACATTGCCCATAGTTCCATAGGTGTCATAATAAGGTGTCGACCACTCATATCAAACTCAGGGAAAAAAGGAAAGGGACTCGTACAAATGCATATGATCGCATATGCTGGCAATTAGAAACCACAGTTTGTCGCGTCTTGGCAGCTGAATAAACGTCTTCATAGCGTAACTTGGTTTGCTCTGACCTTGGGTAAAAACTTTAAAAAGCACACAATTTTTATTCGGACACTTGAATGAACGTTTTGATTTTTATTCTTTTTTTTGTTTGTGCGAAAATGTGCATATGTGTCCTGTCCGCCAGTTCGCGTGTTATTGAAAGCTGAAATTTCATTGCATTGGCCCAGCAAGTTCGAATATGGTAACAATGAGATGGTAAAGTAATCGAAATGTTATAGTCGATCAATTAAATATCTAATAAAATTGCTGCCCTATCTCCGTCATAACGTATTAAAAATTATACCTTACTGCCACACACAATATCCATTTGCAAACGCCAAGTCGCTATTGTATTAAAATACTTTTAAGAGTTGTGACGTGCAGGTAGAACATAAAAAATGCATGGACATGCACAGACAGACAGAGAGACACAGATACGAACTGTTGAACAGGAATGACTATAATGGTTCATGAAAGGATATTGACGCAATTGGTAGGAAAGAAGATGGATCCATATTTTTTGTGTGACCACAGTACGAGTCCCTACGTTGTGACCCTACATCTTTCCTACCTGTCTATAGAAAAGTATTAACTGCATTAAATTTTACGGCAATTTGAAAATGCCACTTTAGGACGATTGGAATCGTAGGAAACCGATGTACGTAGAGGTTCATTACCGGTACTGGTACTTCTGGCGTGCATAACATGGTTTAACATATTTACGATGTATGAAATGGAACGTAACACACAAAAATTTCCGAGAAAATTTTATATTGTCTGTGTCTATGTGTGTGTGTGTGCGTGTATGGGGCTTTTTTTTATAAAATCCGACTTTAGTCATCAATACAGCCTCCTCCAATGGTGACGTACAACATTTTTGTAAAATTTCGACTCCTCCCACCACGACCACCCACCACGAACGAGGCACGTTCATTTCATCAATGCGTCTACCATATACAAAAAAAGGCTTCAAAGACGTTTTAAACCATATATATTCTCGATTGTGAATCGCTTCAGCGAATATATATAATCCATACCGGATATTGATCCCGAATTAGCAGTTTTAGAATATCAGAATAATTTTCAGGATTTTCTCTTCTATTTTGTATCTGTTTTAGTCAACGTCATGAGTGTCCTTTTTTTTCAAATAAAGAAACCAAAAATTGTCATTTTCGACGAAGAAGGGTCGCCATAACACTTTTCAAGGTAATGCTGAGCTAGAGCGATTCCTGTTTCCATCAAAAATCGGTGATAATCGCAATGTTCTGAAAACGATGAAAGTAAAAACGCCTGCTACTGAATTATAATGAGATTTTTAGCAGGCGTCGTTTAAATGTCCGTCCCGGGAATTATTGACGGATGTATGGTAACATCATCTCCCTACACTGAATGAATCTTGGTTCCATTATCCAATCATATATTACGTGGAGAAGAAAAAAGTTTCTTTCCAAGGCGAATATAACTTCCCTCTGGGTTGTTTTTTTATTTTCTTATATATATAGCTTATATATTTCGCTGCTAAACTTTGTTCATCATCTAGCAGCATTCTATTAAAATATGAAGTAATCTTGAAATATTGATCATTTTGGTCCTTATTCTCGATATTTACTTTCGCATCCTATCACACGTGACTAGTCATCTTGCCCGATGAAGAGTGCACCTTTCCAACTCACGCGAACACCTGAGGATTGTGGAACTTGTTATTGTGAAAAAGTCGTATTTAGCTGAGAGCGCAATCAGCGTACACTTTTCCCACTTTTCAAAGTATTATGTAATTTAAGATCTTTGCGATAGTAATAAATCCACTTCTCTTTAAAAATAATTTTATAATAAATGCCCTGTCTTTTATATATGTTGCCGTCTATTGGATTTAAGTAAACCGATTGACAACATTACGTCGTAGTAAAAAAGAAAAAGAAAAGAAAATAAAATAAAGAAAAACAAATAATCTCAATAGCTAGAAGCAACGTAAAAGCCGGCATATTTGTGAAATTTTATCATTGTGAAATAGTCAAGTCTATCTAATTGCGTTAGTCACTCAAGTACTTCAGTTAGATTTATTGCATTATGGTGGTTAGACCTTATACCGAAGAGTTAAAATATTTAGAAAAAATCAGCGACTGTTGTTGGCGCATCAAAAAGGGCTTTCAGCCCAATATGAATGTGGAAGGATGCTTTTACGTGAACGAACGGCTGGAACGTTTGATGCTGGAGGAGTTAAAAAATTCTTGCCGACCCGGTGCTGTAGGTGGCTTCTTGCCAGGTGTCAAACAGATTGCGAACGTGGCAGCATTACCTGGTATTGTGGGACGATCAATCGGTCTACCTGATATCCATTCCGGTTACGGTTTTGCTGTCAGTTTTTTTAAAATCATACCTTTCTTGTTAATTAATCATCTTTGCTATTTTCATAGATTGGGAACATGGCTGCC